GCATATTTTTCACAAGTTGTTAATGTGCCGCTTCATCTACTTCTCCACTATTCAGAGCGCTATTCCACCACAACTTCATACAGATTTCCATTTCACCTCCTTTAAGGCACATATGCAATCATATTTCTATCATCTGAACCATTCACTTATTTGCACCGATCTGACAGTAATCCTTTTTCAATCCTTCCTCCTTGTACTCAACTGCTTCTGGGTTATAGCAGTTCATAATTAGTAGGCTGCATAAAAGACACAGAGCATTTAGAATAGCGCATATTAAGCATAGATAAAATAAATCTCTCGGTATTAAATTTTCAAGATTATTGACTAATTCAAGTTAAGAGTAGAAAAGTTTAGCTTATAATCATTTCTGTTAAGAAGAACACGAAGAATTTTTACGCGCGAATAAATTTTTCATAAAACACGCTATGCAGTAACAGTTTTAGCTATAACAAGAAGCATAATAAGCCGTCTTCCTGATCATTAGTGGCAACAAGAATGAATGGCAAAACCGTTTGCTGCATGTATATGAAAATTGCGTACGACTATTGTTTTTATGTAAATTTGTTTTTTTGGCTGCTTGGCTGATTCTACATATATGCATGGATGTGCATGTCACCATTTAACATAAATTGTTGCCAACTTGTCACAAATTAAAGATATTCATGTTTGTAGATATATACGCAGTCAAATACACACACACACACACACACACACACACACACATTTTCAAATACAAGCGTTTAAATGATTTTATAACATGAAATAACAAAAGGTGTTGACAACTCAAAACAATATAACAAAAATAAACGTCTCATGCTCATGAAGGCAATGATGACTGACGGAGACGTTGACTATGACGACGATGGCACATGCATGCACGCATGCATGCATGCCTGCTTGCATTTGTGGGATTTTAGTATTGCCATGAAAATCAGCCAACAGACATATAACTGAAAGACGGTTTTAATAACAGCTTTCGTGTATCATTTCAACCGCTGTCTAATGTTCGTCTTGTGCGCTTGTGTTTCTCGATTGAACTTGCCTTTTATGCTTTAGATTGTAAGCACAAGTAACATAAATTGAGAATTGTCAACTTGAATTGGCGTTGTGAAGCAGTCGTCGTCGTCGTCGTCGTCGTCGTCGTCATCGTATTGTACGCGTTGTTGGTGTTGCTTGTTAGTAACGTTTAAGGCGTTATTTGCGTGGGGAGAGCTTAATTCTTCTAATGGCTTGGCAGTTATAACAATGTGGGTTTTTCTTCGGTGCGGCTTGGTTTTGAGGTTGGAATTAAAATAAGTTTTGATTTGCATGAAAATGCAAATATTTGTTGAAATTTTTAACATTATTCGCACCCAAATTTCATTATAAAATATTTGAAAGGGTTTCTTAAAGAAAATTAGAAGCATTTTCCAATTAATTAGAATTTTTGCTTGCAAAAGACTTAAACTTAGTCTTTTACTTTTACATCAAAGACTTAAGTATCGCTTTTTAATTAATTGATAAAATTCAATATTTTTTGTCACGTTTTGTTACACTTTCAATTAAAAAATTATCATACATTTATATACATATATATATGTATATGTATACTGTTACATATATTGCTCATCTATTTCAAAACTTTTTTCTTAACATTTTTCTCTCGTCTAACAATAATGTTTGACAAACTTTTCAAGTTGCCTTTACGCTACCGCTACTTGGAATGAAAGCCTGCTACTGTTGTCGATTCTCTTACAACGCTACAACCGGTTTAGATAAAACAACTTCTCATGACGTCACAAAATAGTTTCTCAATTTATCATACTAAGTATCGATTTTTGATTCATTTTGATATTTACAGTGTGAGTTGGAAAACAATATCAACGCAGGCTCAAATCTCAGTACAATGGGGATTGCATGGCTGCAGTTACAGTATAACACAGACTTGGCAGGCAACCGTTAGGCAGCGCTCACTGCCTATCTTTTTCTCTTTCTTTTCTTGTTTCTGCTTATCACGGTGTTACTCAGGGGAATATCCCGTGAGTAACGGGGATTGAAAAAGGAAAAAAAAAAAAAAAAAGTCATGCTTCATGTGTAAAGTAGGGAAAATATTTCAATAGGCAGAGTATCTAAGTTTCGTTTTATATGACAGAAGATTTTCTATGTCTTTTCTGTACTCTTGTCCTGTATTTGCTACGGTTAGGTTGGGAAAAAATTTTCAATTAATTACAAAACTTCACCTTTATGAAATACTTGGCGAGTTTGTGAGTTTTTCATAGTTTATGCTTCCTTTTCAACCGAAAGGAGAAAGAAAAAGAATTTTTGTTTTATTAACAGTATTCCATAACGTTGTGTTGGTAATTGCGGTAACAATGAAAGTGCTGCAATTGGTTGCTTGGTTCCTGCTTTTTAGGAAACGTTACTTTTTCTTCATCTCTCATTTCTTTTTACACAATTCTGTACTCACCACCGTAGGCAACATTTATTTCTTTATATCGTATGCAACGCTTCATGTAATGTCACGGTTACTCATTTGCATCACTCACGATCTTATGTTGAAAATTGTATATATCTCCGCGATCGACGTAAACGGTTTAGCAAAATAAGTCCAAACTTAAATTTATTGCCGCGCATTCTAATATCCTTAAAGTCCTCTCCCAAGCTATACCTGGTCAATTTCCCTTTTTAACTAGTTGTACGCCCGTCTTGCTATATAATTTTATTTCAAATAATGTTTAAATCAAATTAGTTACATAATGTGTTGGATAAGAGAAAACAAAGTAAACCAATAACAACAACGTTTGCCAAGCGATAATAAAATATATTTGAAATAATAAGAAAAGATTAAAAATAAAAGAAATATTGGGGCATTAAGGATGAAATTTGTAGACAAGAGGTCATGTGCAATTTTAAGTTGTAAGAGTTTAATCTCTTATCTTCAAATTTCATCCTTGACGACCCAATAAAATTAATTTTAGAATTTTCTCAACAAAAAGTTTCATATCACTCAATAAGTTCGAAGGAAGCGCGGTCATCCCACAGGCCATTCCACGAGCTTATTTAGTGATGTTTTGGATGCAGATAGTACGAAATTTATTTAGAATAAAAACAAAAATTTTATGCGGCTTAAGACGATGTACTTCATTATGAACTGCACAATAGATCCGTTTTAAGATTGTATTTCTAATTCCGAAATGTTAGACATGTTTTTTAGTACAAAAGTTCACATTTCTCGATGTCAATATATTAAGGAACTACACCGAGGCAGAAAAATTTTGGGTAAAAAATTGTACTACATTTTCGCTTAAAGGAATTATTAAAGCTGGCCTGCACAGATCTATTAATTTCAGCTAAGCTAGAGGATCTAACATCCTTATAGTGTAAAATGATCAAATCGAAGTTCAATCACAATTCACGAAATCAATCTGTTTTAAGTGCTTGGATATAGTATTAAAAAAGTAAGGGAAAGATAAAAAATATAAAATAATTAGGTCCGTAGATGACTTGGTGTCAACGATTAGAAGAATTCCACAAAAGTGTTAAGTGCTCTTCATTTTAATCACCGCGAGTTTGTCGCAAATTTTACAGATGCAAGTTGGCAGTTTCATGATCTAGAGCACATACTCTCCGTCAGCCAAATGCAACAACAATTTGGTCTACTTTCACGTAATGCTATAAATTTGAAAATGGTTCTCGAAAAATGCTTGATCTTTACTATTTTATGAATATATCTTTAAAGAGGCGAAGCCACTGTTGATTCTTCAGAAAAAATATTTGTTATTATCGTCGAAGTAGATGCTTTGAAAGTTCGGGAATAACTTGAAAAAGTTGCTTATCTAAAGGAAATTTATCCTTGTTGTGGACTTTTTCTCCAAAAACGAAGAGAAAGTTGTCCGTCTCTTAAATAAATTCGTGCTGGGAAGTTATACGTTCATGTCATATCTGCTCATTTCCAATTTGTCTAATACGCTAACAGATAGCTATAGGAAGCATTTTGTTTACTTAGCAGCATCTTCAAGCAGAAATACCTTAGTATAGTTTGCATTATGACGACTTAAAAGTTTGAGATGAGGATTTTGATGTCCCTTACAAATTCAGCTATCGAGTTCTTTTCCCTGTCACTTCATAATTGCGTAAAGAGTAAGAGACGTGATTCCATTTTTGGAAAATGTATCAAAATCACTACGACAAAAAACAAGTAAAAGCACTATAGCCCTGCAACACCCTACAGTCATTTATATGATTTTTCAAAACAAGGCGTTATAAAGAAAGTGATCGAAACTGTTGTCCGATCTGAAACATTTTCATAAGCATTTGTTCTTGGGCTAATGTGTCAAATGTGATCAAATTATTGCAAAAATTTGCGATCTATAGAGTAAACACAAGAAAAGAAGACGGACAGATGGACACACATGTGTTAATGGGTCTGTAGCCGCTGTTCGTACGGCATTCTTTCCTTGTATTTTAAATGACTTTGCAGTTTTTTCAATAACTTTGAAAGGATCACTGTAAGCAATGTTTAATTGGACTTCAATGAAATGCATGATCACTTGATTTCTTAAGACTTGTGGAATATATAAATTGGAAAACGGTACACGATATATAACAATATATTACCGCATATTATGAGTAGTTCGTCGTAAAACTATGAGTACTTCTTCAATGCTTTTAGTTGTCTCCGCAAATGGTTTCGCACATGTGCTAGCCAGAGCCATTTAACGCTTTCGTGGCGACGTATCAGTGCCATATTTTATCCCACTCAACCGTTGTAAACCAATAAATGATTGCCGTATGTGGTCCACGTCAGTCGCTGTCACCGATGCATATAGATACTACACGTCACGGGAGAGTTAACATTTCTATGAAAATGATCGTGATCGTGATCGGTTCAATGACGTATTTGATATAAACAGGAAAGATTCACACTACAAGAGTATCGTTTTCCTATATCTTTACTTTGCAAGAATCCGGTTCCAAATGTATATTTTTTTCAAATATGATCTATTTTGTATATTTTTCAGATTTAATTTGCTGTTCTCAGCGTTGCTGTGGAAAATTTTTGACTTTATTAAAAAATAGAAAAACTACAACGTCGCCGTTCCCTGCGCGCGTATATTATAAAGAATAGAACAACGTATGCTACAGTAGACTCGCAAGCGTAGTGTATCGTATGCAGCCATTATTGCTTCTATTGCTTTTGTTGTAATATCTGTCTGCACGAAAGGATATTGTATTTAACCGCTCTCAAACAACCCGCTCGGCAATATTACATTATGCGGTAAGTTTTTGTTTATTTATCTTTTCACCATTTTTTCGTTTTTTTTTTTTTTTTGTTTTTTTGTATCCTTTTCCTGCTACAAGCACTTCATATTCTTTTTATTAAGTTTATTTAAAATAAACCTTTGATGGTGAATAAACAATAAAGCATTTTCAGCTACAAAAGTTTCAATTTTTGCATTTTTTTTTTCTTTCTTTTTGTACTTCTTAATTTACATGATTTAACTGAAATAATTCTTTTGAAAAAAAAGTAGCAGACATTGCAAAAACATAACAGAAATTTTATTAGAGGTTATTAACTCATTTTTATTTGAAAGCAGATTAGAATTTAAAAACTTGATAATAACGTACTACACAACAAGAGCAGTTACTTGGAATGAATTGCATACAGCTCTTCGGATGTGGAATAAAACAAAGCGTTTCATTCAACATGAAAGAATGATTTTAATGTCAGAAGATTTTCCTCCTTGCTTGTAAGGCAGAAAGAATCTGTTAATAATTAGGTTTGTTAACCAATGCTGACTTAGACCTTAGTTGACTTGTTACCTATAAATGAAATGTTGCTTTAAATTATGTTTAAAAATGCATTTTCTTGCAATATGGACAAAGTCACGCTAAACAAGGGGTTAGAATGGCACCTTGAATATCTGTGGTTTACTTAAGCAATTATAAGAAACTCGAATGTCCTCACTTGAAAATATTAGTTATGATTGCAGGTGCCCTCTATGTTGGACAATCCGGAAATTTTTTTAGGTCGTTTCCCGACACCAGATAGTTAGACAGATAATTAGGATTATTTATAAAAAACATTCAAAGTGATCGGTTATGTTATAGTAGCGAGACGTAAGTAAGACTTGGAAGACCATAGTAAACATGTAAGACGTGGTTTAACTTTCTATTTCAAAAAAGATGAAAGACCTGCAGAAGTGCATAGAGCAATGTTTGCTATATATGGGATTAACGCTGTACCAGAACGAACTTGTCAAAATTGGTTTGCGAAATATCGGCTTTGAAACTTTCAGTGAAAGCTTTACCGCGTTCTGGTAGGCCAACTTTGATTAAAGCTGATCGCTGCATAACGATTCGTGAGACTGCAGAATAACTTAATTTATGCATAACAAGTTCATGCCTTCTATAAAAAAAAATCATTTTATATTATAGTGAAAAACCACAAGTAATTTTCGGACTACCTAATAGAATTTTTTTAATAACAAAAAAATGCGTCAGTATATGCGCTTTCAAGAGTATGTATAGCGTACGTGCTCATAGTGAATGACCAGTAGTCAAAGGCGATTAGGCACACATCCACCATACTACGGCCATTTGTCGCATCTTTGTCGTGTTACACCTGTAGGAGACGTACCCCGTGAGGGGTTAGTCGCATTAATAAATAGGAAAAATGTTGATGAAATTAAAAGAAAGAATGGATCGTAATGAGGGAAGTTTTCCAAAGTTATTAGAAAGTCTTGTGAATAGCTCAGATCATTTAGACAAATGTGGCAGCAGGATAGGGGCTAGGGGCTAGGGATAGGGATAAGGGCTAGAAAACAACTCAAGAGTTTATCTAAAGAAAACAATTAATAGAAACACTCCATTCAATCTTTAACGCATAAAAGTATAATTAGTGGAAACTCTTTTATGCATTAGGAGCATCTTTGCAAGCCCGTTTTTATAGCTATACCTCCTAAATAAACCAAACTCAAAGGCCATCTTTACAAAAATGAAGACCTTTTATCCTCTTAGTATTAAACAATTATTTATTAATAGGTTCTGAGAAAGTTAAGTTAAAATATTTTCTTTTTTAGATTAATTATTTTATGTATTCAGTATAATTGCCTAATCCAATGCCTTATTGTTCAGATTGATATGAAATAATATTTAACTAAACAGATAAAGTTTTCTTTTTTTTTTTGTTTTTAAATACGTAAAAGTTTTATGTAATTTGTAGATATAATTTAATTTGTCATCAAAAATAAAATCAAAAACAGAAATAAATGTTTGTGAAAATCCACGTAATCAGCGCGATTCGTTTTCCACATTGAATCGCGCTATTTAGCTATTAATTAACCAAAACATGGAAATTGCAAAAAAATAGTCAATCTAGTGGAATATAAAAACTTGTTGATAATTAATCAAATGCACACAATAAATTAATTATCATTTTCGATTTAAAGACTAAAAAGTTTTGTTTTTTTGCAAAAACAAAAGCTCTCGCTTTTATACTCACCTCCCAAGGGTGAAGGTATAATCAACTTACCGAAAGGTTTCCAATGCGTAGAAGGCAACTTCAGAGATCTCATAAAATACTTAGATTCTTGAGCGATGTCAAATTCCTAACCGATGTAAGCATGTCCGTTTGCCTGGTCACAAACATGAATATATCGGTTGCAAATTTCGTGAAAACATGGGGAGATCATACACGTTGGTTGGTATTAGAAAATAGGTCAAAACGATGGTAGGAAACGCTCACAGAACTACGTAAGCTGAGAATACGTCTATTTTCAAAAGACTTGTCTCTTACATGGTATTGCTATCTGGCCTCCGAAGCCTCCTTCTTGAACTGCTGCAATCATTCTGACAAAATGAATACATCCTGATGCGTTAATGGTCGCTGTAGAAGGTGATGAAAAGCGATCGAAAGAGATCTTAACAGTTACCCTAACCCTTGGAGATTTCAGTTCTGAGACTTTATCTCTTCTCTTCGTCATACTTCCAGTTTGTCTGTTTTTCCTAATCGTTGCATTAATCGGTACCGCGTAAACCAATTTATACAGACTCTGCGAAGGGGTGAGGAAAACTTTGCATTGTGTTCTGCGCGAATATGCGGCCATCTGCGGAGTTAGATATTAAGTATTTGGCGAATGGAGCTACGCACAGAAGAAGTTGGTCCGATTCATAAAAACCCTAACAATGGACTTGGGCATTTTAGCCCCGATGGCCGTGATGCCCGCGATTGCTCACTACAATGCGATTATAACACATACACGCATTTATTATTGTGCTTTGCAAAGATTCCTTCAAAAAACTAGTTTTAATAACTGAACGAAGATGTACTCGTGTAACCCCTTGAAATTCATCATTCGCCACTTGCTTTCCTATGAGTTATAATGAACTCATTGTGCAAATAATTTTTCATATAATGGAAAGAAGCAAGCTTTTTTTTTTATTTTTTTATATTTTTTTTTGTTTTGTTTGTTATTATTTCGCATATATTCAATTATTACAAGAGTTATTAAAATTATTACAATTCTGTTCTCCATGGCAACATTATTACTATGTTTTATTTGCTATAATATGAGAATTATTCATGTTTGTGTGCACATATTGTTTTCTGCTGGTTTTGCTATTTTTAAAGGTTCATTAATTGTTTTAATTATAATATACAAATGCATCGAAGCATGTAGTGTAAAACAAAATAAGCAAAAACAACTATAAAAATTGAAAGCAATATAGATATATATAAATATATATATGTATATAGCAACATATATATCAACATATATAAATATAGATATATATATATATATATATATATATACATATATATATGACGCAACTTATTGTTTAATACAATATTACAATCATATCCATTATGTATAACATACATAACAAGTATATGTACATGCATATGCAAGTAATTGATGATGAAATATTAATGTTATAATTAAAAGGCATTATTACATGACAGGGAAAAACATTAAAGAGCATATCTTGATTTAATGAAAAGCTTATAAATATGGTGATGTAAAATTTACTTATTGAATATGTTCGCTAGACAATGGCAAATCCTCAAATTTCAAGATAATTTAATCTGCTACGTCGAAAATATCGACATCCATGTTGACAATCCATTGTACGAACTTATCAGAATTTTCTAAACATTAATTTACATTTCATAAAAGAACTTATAAACTAAATTATAGTAGTGTAGGCGCAAAACATTTTCACATGTATATAATAAATGAATTAACTCAGGATAATAGATATTGCTTGTTCAATTGTTGTTGTTTCAATTTATTATTTAAATTAAAAACTTTTAGTTTCTCTCAAATTTATTAATATAATATAATATTTAGGTATATACCTAAAACATGGGTTGAAAGACAACAACGTTATGCTTTAATGACTACAAAGTGTTATCAGAAAGTAAGCGCAAATAAGGCACACTTCTAATTAAGACGTGGATCAAATTTGTTTTTGCAACATTTTGTTTGGATCATGCGATTATTTGTAAAAAAAAAACATTATTTAAATCTTTTCCACGACAAATCTAACAAGGATACGTTTAGCATAATTTTTAATGACTTGTTTGCGCATAGCGGGCAATAGCTTGATTATAACTTGTCGAATGATTGTGTTCAAGACACCAAGAGTTTGAGGATTGTTCGCATAACTGTGATACTTTGCGCAACCTAACAAAAAGAATGTCTCACGTTGGGAAATCACAACATCCAGGGGGCTAGCTCAAATAGGCATTTTTGCATATTATGCGGAAATTGAACTTTTCTGAGTTGAACTATTTTGTTGAAACCTCATATCGTCTAAGTCGAGATCATCCAATTTGTACGGCAAAGAATTGCGCGTTTTTGTGACGATCTCAATTGGCATTTTCAGCCCACAATTCCCGCCTAAAGGTTAATTTTTGGTCACTCTGAAATCATTAACGGGCAGCAAATGGAATTTGTTAACTTCAAAGGTCTAATTGTCCTTAATTACGAAGCCCTTTAAGCAAATATGAGTTTATTCCACGCACGCCAAACGTAGCCGGAATGGACACATTATTTTTGTAACAAATTTGAACAAGTCTTATACGCCGTACAATTTTGTATATTTTCCCCAAAAAGTTGGGCAAACAATACTGAACGCATGTTGCTGTTAAGACAGGAGTTTCTCGTTAGTTGCATTAACAGTTTTTCTAAGAAGTGCAACACACGTTCTAAAAATGTCGGTTATAAGTTTACTGAGTAACTAAACTTTATCCATTTACTTTCGTGTCCGATC